GGCCAGCCGCCCTCTTGGAGCGTTTATCGGGGCGGGATCCTCGGGAAGGGCCCGTCCCAGGCGCTGTCGCGGCGAGGAAATTGCAGCAATCACGGTGTTTTGGCTATTCAAAGCGTCAGCGGGCCAGTTGCCGAGCTCCCCATCGCGGTGGGGGTGGCGGAGCCGACGAGCGCACTTGTCTGCAGCATCCCGTCCTCTCGGGATGCGAGAAATAAAGAAATTTCCCAGCGGGAAATAAAACTGTTCGGAAAGCTTAACCGATGGAATGAAACCACCCCTTCTAAACCGCAGAATTTTGTTTAATGAAGCGGTCAGGAAACGTGAAGGTACACATAATCACAAAAATACCAGCCCTTTTCCCACTTTTAAGCAAACGCAAGCACATTTTCCCTACTTCAACATAAAACGCGTGTTTTCCTTCCATCACACAGCTCCATAATTTGAAAACCCAGTAAAATTAACTGCCGTAAGGGCATTCCTCCTTTTTAACACTTCAAAACTTCTTCAAAAGTCTTCTACAATATGGTCCCAGCGCTGGGAGCTGACGAACAAGACATGAAAATACGCAGCACAGGGCATGCAAGCGGTTCAAAGTGCTGTATGAAATCAGGTTCTCTTCTTGGCTAAATCCTTCAGGTTTGCAATAGTTTCAGCGTGCCTATTTTCAAAGTCATTTTGGAAAATTACCCTTGAGTACAAGTTTAAAAGGTTTAAAGCTGTAAAGGGTTTCTTCACAGTAAAAGACCTGTTTGCCAGCTCTCAGTTCCAGAATTAAACAGTAAACTTTGCCAGCTCTCAGTTCCAGAATTAATGTTAGCCACCTCATAGCTCTTGGGAAAGTTTAAAATCTAAAATCTGCACTTTCAAAATCTGCAGTTTTAAAATCTGCAGTTTTAAAATCTGCACTTTTAAAATCTGCACCTACAGATTTTAAAATCTGTAGCTGTAGAATAAATGCTACTCCACAACATCCCTTTTCAGTCTAAGGCCTCAGAAATAACTACTGCATTTAGTTTCTCCTGAGGTAGAATAGAATAGTTCAGGTGGAAGGAAAGGAATACTCTTGGAATAGATGGTCACTGTATGTTTTCATGGCATACAAGAAAAAAAACTATGCCTACTGTATGACCTCACTCAAATGTAATTCCAACACCGTATTGCAAATTACGGTTGAATACAGACACCACAATTGCTGGTTAAGTCACATATGTAAAATATAATTACGGGAAATGGGATCCTAAAAATCAACTTCTAAAACCAGATGGCTCCCACTTGATTCAAGGAGACCAGTGATTAATTTTTCTGTAAGAAGTGGTTGAATCTTCAGCATCAAGCAAGAAGTGAAGGAGAACGGAATTTTCTGGTTCTGAGGTTTGAGTCAATTCCACTCTTTGCAGATGATGCCCTGCAATCAGCAAGAGAGTCCTTTTCCTGAGGTCAGAGGGTGTGAGCTATCTGGCATACATATTCACATAGAACTTCTCTAATATGCAGTGGAACATAGGGAAAAATATTTTGGGTTTATGGTTATCCTCAAAAATGAGATCAGAATCAGAGAACCATATTAAATCATCCAGGACACAAAGATGACAGACTTTAGAGCTGTCAATAAGAGGAACTTACTTCCTACTCCAAGATAACAACTATTTAATCTAAATTTTCTTTTCTAAAATAAAACAAAAAGCATGTACAGCTAATGAAATGCTATTGTTTAGATGTAAAACAGCTCCTGTGAAAGATTTCTGTCATTGATATATTTAAGGTTGATTTGAGAAGTTTGGTCCTATAATGAGCAAAAGCAAACTGTAATAATAAAAGAAATATCCAGGAGGATGAGGGAAAGTATGTCCATGAAGATACGAGACAGGAAATAGAATGCAATATTTTTACAATTAAAGTCAAATGGATAATTCATTAGCATTGAATGAACGATAATTTGGCTCCAGTCTCTTAGAAATGCTGGTCACAGCCATGTTCTTGATGGGTGGTAAACCTGAGCCCAAACTATCATCACAAGAAGTCTCAGCAGAAAAGTCAATGGCATAAAGTTAGAAGAATGTTCCTTTTCAAATCTGGTAAAGGTCTCTCTAGGGTAGCACAGAAGAAAGGGAGGAGTTGGCCATTCCATTTGAAAGAGAAAGCATTCAAAAATTTTTAAACTGCAAAGATCACCCTTCAATTCTCAAAGCTGACGGAAGAGATTAAAAACCTCAAAAGCATCAGTGTCTATATTTGCCTGAAATTTCAAATCTCTGTAGGAATGCTACATCCAACAATGTGTATTTGAGAAGATAAGGGATTGCTTGATTAATGTTATCAGTCAAATCAGTAATGATCTGCAATTTCCTTCAGCTGGTTTTCATCTCCGCATCTTGACTACCCAGAGGAAACTTTTCTCCTGGAAGTAAGTCTTGAAGTAAATTATCCTCATTTTCCACTGAGATCTGAATTTCCGTGTCTTTTTTCAAGGGGTTTTCTTCTTTTGAAAGGGGAATTTTTCCCCCTGTTGGGGAATAATAGGGAGTGTTTCCATAATCCGTGCTAGTTGAACTAGTCTGTTCTGGGAACTGGGAACTGCAGTCTGGACTACATACTTTAACGATACAAGTCACATTCACCTGCGTTCCTCCGCTACCAGAATGTTCTGTCAAATAAACAGAAAACACGTTAAACGTGGAAGAATAAAACCCAGAACAGGATGGTTGGATTCTTTATCTAGTTCTTTCACTAAAAGTTAAAATGGACACTAAATATCTTTTTGCTTCACTTAAGTTAGGGGAGTTGGTAGAGTTGGTTCTGTATCATTTCAGGGCTTTTTTTGGTACCATAAAATCCACATCATCCCAGAAATAAAAAAAAACCATAAAAATTAATACAGAGCCCTGGATCACAGCCAACTCCCTACCCATCTGCACTATTTCAGATGCTTTTCACAATGTTTTACTGCTCCCAACTCAGGTAAGTGCCTGCCATCACACTGATCCCCCATCCTGCAAGTACCTTTTTCTCCACTGAGCACATTTTACTGTCTCAGGCCAACGACTTAAGACTTTTTCTTTTCAAAAGGTACTCTCTCTGCGGCACATGAGTCTGAAAAGACTCGTAATTGATAATCAAATTTCAAGATGTTCTGGATCATCCCGATACGTTCATACCCGAACTCGCAGAGTTGTGTCTGTCTCCAGCTGAGTGTTGCTGCCGAGATCCTGCGGTTTCTTTCCTTTCGCTATTCTTGTCACTCATTGCACTGACTCTTGCAGATCCAGCTGGATTATTCAGGGAGCTACTGCTGGACCCAGTAGTTTCCAGGAGATGCTGTTCTTCCTGTTCAGAACTGCTGGAGTTTTGCGACCCTGTATTTCTTACCTTTTTCTCACTCTGCTTTTCTGTAGGGGAAAAAGGCTGGAACATTTGCAGAGAAATGCAAAACATTAATATTAAAACTGGTCGGTACTTAGGCAGCTAAAAGAAGCCACTGAAAATTTCCATTTACATAGTGAAGGGTCTGGAGCACAATTCCTGTGAGGACCAGCTGAGGGAGCTGGGGGGTTCAGCCTGCAGAAGAGAAGGCTCAGGGGAACCTTATCACTCTTCAAAACTCCCGGAAAGTAGGGTGCAGGGGTGGGGGAGGTTGGCCTCTTCTCCCAAGTAACAAGCTATAGGACAAGAGGAAATGGCCTCAAGTTGTGCCAGGGAAGGTTCAGATTGGATATTCGGCAAAATTTCTTCACCAAAAGGGTTGTCAGGGATTGGAACGGGCTGCCCAGGGAGGTGGCGGAGTCACCATCCCTGCAGGGATTTCTAAGATGTACAGAAGTGGTGCTTAGGGACTCAGCTGTGCAGTTTTCTTCTACTTGCAATTAGATAAGACTGCATGATTTCAATATGACTTTTAAAGAAATAGAAAAGACAGAAAGGAAGGAGTGACACTCACTGAATCTGGTTCTGTAGGCGGTGAAGAATATACAAGGGCTGCAAGTGAGGAAAGACAGTTCATTACCACCTAAATTTGTTTCAGATGCAAAAGCTGCTCTCTTAACTAGCCTGAATTATATCCTCTGCTCCTGGAATAGACTTCAAATGTCCATTTATTACACACTGTTTGAAAATGTTGAAAGCTATATTGTATTAATTTTGTAAGGCGACTTAAATTTAGCCAGCAAGCAAAGAGGACCCTCTGCCTGAATTAATAATTTTTCTAGTATGATATCCATGAGAAAAGGTATTGATGACTATAAACTACAGTTGTGACTGTTCAATGATTACATCTGATCATGTCTAATATTTAACTGATGAAGTGTAAAATATTTTACAAGCTCCAATAGGAGCACAACAGTTGTACAGTTGTCCAACTCCACTGGGATGTTGTATGTGTAGACAATTATCTAAGATGTGAGGAACAAGAGAGATTTGAACGGGACATTTGCCTCACTGTATGCCTGTATTGAGATTAATTTCACCCCATGTGATTTTATAAAGATACTTTTAATCTAAATACATATTGAACATACATATGAAACGTCCTGGAGTATTTAATTCTATTTTTCTGTAGCTGCAAAGCTTATGTGACCAAGCTGATTTGCATGAGTTCTCTCTTTGTCTTCTATTGACCTTTGCACCCTTTGGCTAATTGCACCCCAGTATAACAGAGGAATGGTATCAAAAGCTTCTCAGGGTTTCATGAAGCTATAGGTTGCCAGCTAGTGAGGCAGAAATGCGTAAATCATCACCTTGTCTCCTTCAAAAAAAAGTTAATTAACTCATACATGATTAGACACTGAAGAATCTACATGTTCATGATACATAATCCACATCCAGCCACAAGAAAAGCTTGAAAGAGATGGTATCTTCTCAGACACTAATGTGAGTCAACCACTAGGCTCAAATTAGTAGGAAATAAGGTGATGCTCTTTCCAATATTTACAGATCTGCTTATTTTCACTTAATGAATCTTACCTTTTTTTTTAGAGACTAAGCAAAACCCCAGAATAATGATTATCAGGACCAATAACAATGGTCCTGCTACCGATCCTGAAAATAAAAGAGAAATTATTTAGCAGGTTGATCTGACAAAGGGCCTAACTACAAAGAGGTAGTTTTGTAGTTTCTGTCCATGGCTACAAAAGCTAAATTTACAAGTATCAGGTGTGTCTGCCATACACTTTTGATGTCTCTATTGTCAGATATTAGGGTCTCTTTTCAGTCTTCACCACTTCATAAAATTGAATTTTCCTGTCCTGAAAAGTAAGGACAGGCTTCTGGCCTCAGTCCCAAAGATACCTCTCCATGCTAGCAACAGTTTGTTAAATATGAGGCCAGGCAGTCCAGAAAGCTTCTAGTCATACATGGCTTCTGGACAGGTTGTGAACAGGAGGCAATACATCCACATTTTGAATGCTGTAAGGACTTCCTGTCTTGGGAAAGGCTGCCAGAAGTCTCCAAAGACCTCTCACCAGGTCCATAATCAAAGATCAAACCTTTTCCACCAGCTCCTTCAGGGTAGCAGTTCTCAGGAAATGCCTTGTATAACCTAGTTTGGGGATTTTTAGAAATATTTCCAGAATTACAAGGACTACAGAATGCACTGGGGTAGCGCAGCTGCATAGCTAAATATTATACAACTGACAACAAGCAGTGTGATAGCAAATTAATTCGGCTAGTTTGGGTACAGGTAATTGGTCTTGGAAGGCAATGGAGAACTATATATAAACTTGCTTCCTAGCCAGAGAAAAGTGATTTTAAATGAGTTCATAGCTCACCAATGATGTGAAACCTGTCAGATAGAGAGTTTAAAACAATAGATTGAGTTATTATTTCAGGTTTGTTGGAAGCCGGGCTGTGGGTCAGGAGCAGGTTCAAAATAGTGTGAGGTAGAACTGTGGCAACTGCTGATCCCGAGTCACTGCAAACAGCATCATTCATGCGGTTTCCTGGAACAGCCACTGATTTACAACTGCAAGAAGAAAAAAAGAGAAGTTAGGAAAGAAAGCAACCCTGCCCATAGTTAAGACAGCTATTAGACAGAAACACTGGCTTACACTGTATGAGGTATACAGCTGGTATCATAGGATTCCTCATGTGAAAATGTGCCAGGAGGACAAGGTTTACATTCTGTATCTGTGCTATCTGTCCCTTTAAACAAACAGAAAAACTCCAGTTAGTCATCCAAGTGAGAAATGAGAATGAATAATCAAGGTCGGCGGTGCAGATCCTGGCAGTGATACCGAGGCAGTACACAAAATATGGTCTTTCAACTGCCACAGAAGAGATTAATTTGAAACACCCAACCCGAACACAAACCAGAAGATTCATCGGCTGGTAGTTTGGTACCCTTGATAGCCAGTCTGTAAAAAAGACTGTAAAAAACCACCAGAAGTACCACTAAAATGTGGTACTGCAAACAGAGCTGGGCTTTTCACTCATACCTGACAGGCTCACCACCCGCTCCATTCTGTTGGAGTTCTGTATCTTTTCAAATTATTCTTAATTTTAAAAAAATATTCAGTGTTCCACCTCTTCGAATATTATTTATCATATTCAGACAGCTACATTATTGGAGTGGTGAATTTCATCCTCTAATAAAAACAGATTGATTCTTCAGGACAGCATAGAGTCATCATTATTTACCATAACCAAAATTCAACCTGAAGCCCTGTTTCAGGGATTTAAGCAGGAATTATGTGGTCTTGAATACGAGTCACTTCTATGGAAAACACGTTGTAGATCAAATCAAAGATTAAGTTGGATCAGGGAACTTTATGATATATGGTAGTAACAGACTGCAACATGTGGATATGCCTCTTGAGAATACTGCTGCTCTACTTCCTGCCTGCTGGCTAAGACAATGCTTGCACTAAAAAATGCATAATTGTAAGGAATTAAGAGAGAGTATTCCTGTAATTTACTGAGTTAGAGGCAGATTCAGAAATATTTATGGACTATTAATGCAAAAAAAAAAAACCAAAACCCCTCTCTTCATACAGTAAAACTGTTTTGTGTGTAGAATGTTCAGAATTAAGTTACCTCTTCTGGAAACTCTGTAACCTTTTCCACATTTTTTATGCACTTTACATAATTTGCAGTACTCGTATATTTTCGAAATGCAGTACTCATTGGGCGGGCAGATACAGATTCTGTCCTGTGACGTAGTGCACGTTTGATTCTGTACAAATCCTGGTTTTAAAACAAGAATAAAGCACGACATCGTTAGCAATATTTAACATTATAACCTGCAATGTTTCAAGTGAATATGAGGTGATGTTCTCATACCACAAACTGAAGACAATTTTGCAGCTTCCAGCTAGTATAGCATCGTAGAGCAAATATGTTATATGCCCCAACATGTACATTTCCAGAAGAGTTTTCTCTCTAAGAAAGGAGAGATTTGCATCTGTAGAACACACTCTTGAAACTCCATTCCTGCAGTTGCATTATATTGTGTCATAACCTGTGTTCATCACTGCAGCATCTGGGGGCCATACTAAGATTTGTAGCCTATGTAGGTCATTCAGCTGTATTTAAAGTGATTGGAGACCTTAGTACAGACACTTTCATACCGTAATTAACCAGCTCTGTAGGATTATCTATTTAGATGAGACCAAAGGTCCTTTCAACAAGGATCCTTAGACTGTATCCTTAAAACTTACTTGTCAGCGAGTCAAGTAGATCATTTTCTATGCAAATTTCCATTAGAAGTGATGGTCAACAGTATGAATCAATTTGTTCATGCACGTGATCTGAGACCAACGTGCAGGTGTTGGTACTGCTGCTTTAACGGACTGAGCCAGCACGCTCTCATTGACTCTGCTGCTTTGCGAAAGAAATAAAAATAATACAGGAGTATCACAACTGCTGTTTGCTGTTGTCAGTTCAGCAAACAAACTGAGGAATGACTGGATGCTGGAAATGTAATCATCCATTCACCCCGGTGCAAGTCAGGTCTTAAGCTCCCTTAGCTGGAAAGCATAAGTTATTCTACTGGTGATATTTGTATCCATTTTTGTGCTGCAGTGCCTTAATTTTCACAAATAAGATTGGTGTCACATTTTTAGAACTTAGAAAGAAAAAGGGTCAGGGCCCCTACAAGACTTTTCCATGATTCTATTCCCTAGATCTTATGAGTAACAAAAGCATGAGAATGGGACAATACAAATGAGAGACAAAACCTCCTAGTTTTCTTAGGAAGAAAGGCTAGGTTAAACCAAGCCGACTCTTTGAGTGGGCTGTGCCTCTTGAATAATTCATGCCTACCTTTCCTGCAGGGTGGTGAGCAGGCAAAGCACTGAGGAGATCGATTCCAGATTTCTGTATACGTGTTAGGTCTACAGGGACTGCACTTTGTGTCCGTCGTGTGACTGCAGCTCTCTGCCTTATACTCACCTATTAAAAAAAAACCCAAAACACCACAGGTCAGAAAGCATCTCATTGGAAAAGATCACTTGAAACTGTTTAAGTTTCATCCTTAGCTGTAGAAACCCTCCCTTTCCCTTCACTGCCACTCTCAGATTGGTAAGGAATACCAAGCAAGTATTGACTCAGTGGAGGACTGCACCTGTCTACAGCAAAACCCTGACTACTTCTGTGTTATTCATGTTTGACCCCTTTTCCTACACCCAGTTCGGTGAATTCCAGCCATGTTCAAAACAAGGCAGCTTCAATCCTGAACACAACCCCTCAGCATATACTTAGATGCAGCTACCACAGTACATGAAACACTCACTGACACTCACTGAAGCTCTTTTGTGTGACACACAACCTTTGACACCCACTGAAGCTCTTTTGTGTGACACACAGGATGGTGTTTCATGCTGAAGGTCAGGCACGTGCCATAACGATGTGTCTTGGAGAGGGCCTTACTACCTCTGCAGGCAGCAAGTGCAGAAGGCATAATAAAGTTATCATCACAGACAGGTAATTGGAACTTCACCCCTTGTCATTACTGAAGGGACATGAGCTCACTCTTTTCTTCACCTCTTCAGCCAGTCCTGACATCGTCAGTTAGCCCTAACAGATCGAAGCAGTGAGCTTCCGAAGCTACTGGCATTCCAGGCAAAATCAAAAGCTATCACAGGTAGTTTCTCCAATGCTTCTCACCAACAACAGAGTTCAATGGGGAATAAGTAAATATGAGCTCCAACACGTTCATTTGAGTGAAAGGAAAACACCTCAGCTGCCATTTCCCCCTTGCTTGGAGGGAGGAGGAAGATAAATGTCAATGTCTCATATCCTGTACAAAAATATCCTGGAAAATAGAGAGCAGGAGTAACACTGAGAAAGTCTTTGGAGATCCACGGAGAATCTCTGTTCTCTAGCAGAAGAGGCCCTGGGGGTGAGCCATAGGTATTATTTCCAAATACTTTGGTTTTGCATGTACTTATTTGAAGCTTCAAATTCTGCCCCCCTCTTCCTGTCAATGCTTTCGGCTTCAATTTTTGATAAATTATGTAAAAAAATTCCAATTCATAATAACAAACCCAAAGATCTTAGACTTCCTACAACTTGTTTTCCAGAGGCGATTATTCTGGAAAATTAAAATTAAGGAGAAAGTCTGAACAGTACATACCACAGCAGAAAAAGGTTTTACCTATGAATTATCATCTTTCATCATTGTGTTTTTAACAAAGGAAGCCTGACAGATCTGTCTAGACATTTCTGGTTAATTCAAGTAACTGTGGCTGCTTCACCATACACCGGTTTCCTGCTTCAGCTTCCGGATGTCTCTGACAGGAACTCGGCATTTATGGAGACAAACTTTGTTTGCTCAGCATTAAATGAGACAGTTTTTGCTGGGTATAATGTAATAATAGAATGAAAACTTGCTGCAAAAACTCTATTATTAAGATACCTAACAGCATTACTACGCCCCCACCCAAAAAAAAACCCCAACAAAACCAAAAACCAACAAAAACACCAACACACACCCCCACCTTTCTGCAGTCAACAACTTTTGCTAATGAAAGATCACTAATAATTACCACTGGAGTGTAAGACATGACACCTCAAAGCAGTTTCTGTAGTCTTGTACCCAGTCTCTGATACTGGTCTGCAGTGTCTGATTTACAGTAAAAAAACAACAAAACTCCCTTAATAGCTCAACCTGTCCAGTGGAAAGCCCCTAATATAAGTGATACTATCAAAGCACAGCAACTAAGCTCTACCTCATGCCCCCCTGTTACAAAATATGTTATTAGTGGGCTTGAGCCTGACAGGTGTTGTCTAATTTTCCATTAGTGAGCTGTGGCTCCCCCATGAAATGTTGACTTAAATCAAAACACCATGCAAGGCTGTGCTTGCAAGAGCTCAGCAGCCTGCCAGATAATCCAAGCCAGGTTAATCTTGCAACAGAATTCCAATTCTGAGGAACAGTGCGTCTTTTCTGCAGGTATCTTTATGGTCACGGCACTTTTTTGTCCTCCAGCTGGGAGTGCACTACAACAGCAAAACTGCAATGCTCTTCAGATGTATAAATAATCAAAATGCACTATGTTTATCTGAAAATTGACTGAATTTGGCTGTGTAAAGTCATAGTTTGAATTACAACCTACCTGGAGGGCATTGGCTGCAACATTTATTAAGTCTTTCTTCATAGAATTCAGTGCTGGGATCTTTGCACTGTGCAAACTGAGGTGTATAAGGCAATGAGTATTCCTAGGAGAAATTAAGAAAAACTTATGAGTCACAAGTCCATTCTGACCCTAGAGACTCAAAAGAGAGAAACACTTAAACATCAGTGCAATCATAACTGCCTTCCTTTCCAAGACGCTGATGTAGGCTTGAGGAAACAGAAAGCAGCAGATGCCAAATAAATTGAAGGAGAACACACAGCTTATAAGGTATTTGAGACCATCTAGAGGTTCCTCTGGTTTTCAAAGATCTGTCAGGTTTTATGTTCAAAAGAATACAAAGGGACTATGAGATGAGCATCACAAAACACCAGTGAAACCTAAATTCTTACCTCGGGTTTGCAGGGAGAACCATTTTCTGCAAAGTAACTATGTTAAAAATGGTATCTTCTTACTTAGTAGGTCTACTCCCTATACACATTTAGAGCCCTGTCTGAAAACTAGAAGATGGACTTTGCTACTTACTAATTCCCTCAGGTCTCCCAAGCTGAGGGAAGAGGGAGCTGTGGGTGTAGCACTGCTGCAGTGCTTGAAGGAATCTCGTTTTCATCAGTGTGTGCAAAGGACACAGGACACTAAGTTCAATTCTCTGTTGTGCTTACGGTAAATATGTCCTCACACCCATGCAATATCCAGGCAAGATAACCCATACTTTCAGTCAAAGAACCTCTACAGAAGTGTTTCACCAAAGGAAACATTAAAAAAAAGGCTTTTATCATTCCAAGTGCTTTGTGATTCTTTTCTGAATGAGAAAGGCCTTGATGTTTTGAAAACAACGTCTCCAAAACCTGCACTGCTGCTTCTAAAAAGGAGCAACTGGCTACAAGATTTTAAAAAAATAAATAAAAACCCTAACTCACATGGCAGGTCAAATGCCTAAGTACTGGTACTGCATCCAGCCCTGGAGCCCTCAGCATCAGAAGGATGTAGACCGGTTGGAGTGAGTCCAGAGGAGGCCACGGAGATGCTCCGAGGGCTGGAGCACCTCTGCTACGGGGACAGGCTGGGAGAGTTGGGGGGTTCAGCCTGGAGAAGGGAAGGCTCCGGGGAGACCTTATAGCACCTTCCAGTACCTGAAGGGGCTACAAGGAAGCTGGGGCGGACTTGTTACAAGGGGCTGTAGTGACAGGACAAGGGGTAACGGGTTTAAATTGAAAGTGGGGAGGTTTAGATTGGATATCAGGAAGAAGTTCTTCCTGGAGAGGGTGGGGAGGCACTGGGACAGGTTGCCCAGAGAAGCTGTGGATGCCCCATCCCTGGAAGCGTCCAAGGCCAGGCTGGATGAGGCTTGCAGCAAGCTGGGCTAGTGGAAGGTGTCCCTGCCCATGGCAGGGGGGTTGGAACTAGATGATCTTTAAGGTCCCTTCCAACCCAAACCAGTCTGTGATTCTATGATTAAGGTACCTTCCAACCCAAACCATTCCATGATAAGAAACAGTCATAAAACACAGTGTACCTAAATTTCAGCTCATACCTATCAACACAGCTCAGTGACTTCCAGAACAAGTGTCAAAATATTTGAAAACCTGCCATCCGTTTTCAAAAGGAAAAACATACTCACTCAAAAGCAAAAAGCTGGTGTTGGGTAGTACAAGCGTAGGAGTTTCCTGCTAGATCAGAAAGATGCTGCTCAAAAAGTATGTGACACTGCTCAATTTTCTGCACTTTTCTGAAGAGATTGCTCTATGTATAATCGACACACTTTTACAGAAGTACTTTGAAAGTATTATTAAAAAGAGAAATCAAAACAGGAACAAGGTCTTTGGAGGCCAGTAATGAAAATATCCTTCCTCCTTACTGAAAAAACATGTTGATTATCTATTGTGCCTTCACCTTACTGACACAGGAGACTAACATTTCCCACTCGCAGCAATTGTTTAAAGGGAACCCAACATCTTCCTACGCAGCTTGTTGAAATATTTTACCTCTTATCTAGCTGTATATCAGAAACAGGATTTCACACATCTACTCACGGTCAGTGTCAAAAAGAACTTTTCCTGAGAATGTGAAGGCAGAGAAAGGCCTTCCTGAGTTTCAATATTCATTCCAGGAAAGAAAAAAGGAAAGCAAACTATTGAAGTAGACATTTCACCGCTCCTATTTAAGACACTGAAAGCTGGTAACACTGACAATACTCAGGACAATTTTCATCTCTTCTGATCAGTCAATTGAGTTAAAGACTCAAAACGAGGGAGACTGGGGGTGGGTTTCCCCAATACTAGCCCCATTCTCTCAGACAGATGGACAAGAAACAGTCAAGTTGCAGACTGAAGAACAAAGTCGTGAAGATGCTTTTAACAGGCTAGAAACTGTGACAAGCTGGGAAGGATGACCAAAAAAAAAAAAGAAAAAGAAAATCTCATTCTCCTTAAACACTAGAGCAGGTGAAGTAAAAAAGAGCTGCTGAGCACAAGCTGCATTTTTCAAATTCTGCTCTTTGTCTTTTGATGAGAAGAAAAACATAACTTTTAGGTTCAGCTGTTAATGCTGGACTTGGTGTTATACCCTCATAGGATGGGCAGTGCGTAATAGATAAACCATCCCATTTGCAACTGGGAGCCAACACTAAAACCTGATGGAGAAGAAGAGAAGGGTTCTGCTCTCATCAAAAGTATTTTTCATTTAAGTTACCTTCTTGCTTATTAAAAGAAGAAAGATCAAGCGTCGTCACATTTTTGTAGTCACTATGATCAACCTGATTAAAACAAGCACTTAAGAGTCTTTTAAAATGTAAAGCTTCACTCCAAGACCAGACACAGGAAAAAAAAAAAAAGGGGGTGGGGGAGAAATACAATAAACCAAGTCACAAATCATCCTCTTCCCGAGGCTTCCCGGCAAAAAAAAACCCTATTCTTATCTCATCCTCTGCATTGCCTGTTATAAGTACTGCGCTGTTGTTTGATGGGTTCACATTTATTTCTCTGAAGTTGTGCTTGAGAGGATGTGTCTACTGTCTGATACCATCTCCCTGAAATTTTATCTGATGAGCTGTGGCTCTCAACAACATACAATTGACTATTTCTTGCCAACTGTCCTCAAAGAACACTATGGGAGACTGAAAGGGACCTGTAACTCACTCAGATACAATTTATATACACACATGAGCTCGGCTTTGTTTGCCCTGGAAGGATGCCATTAATTTCAGTAGTTACTTCCAATGTAAACTAGTTTAATCCAAGTTGTCAAGGCCAGCAGTCAAATCTCCTACTCTGCCAGAGGAAGTGTAGGACTCTGATTAGGTACAAAACTCTCCTGGATTTCTTGGCTGCAAGACGACCCCACTTTTTCCAGCTGTTTCATGAAATTTAAGGTCTGAGCTGGGCAGTACAGTATTTCCTGCCCAAAATAAAACCCTCTGGCATCCAGATCCATTAGCTACTTCGGGCTGAAAGACTGATGAGTAGGAGCCAGATTCTATTCCACAATCTTTAAGTTTTGTTACTTTTTGTATCTCTCATAAGTCCTTACTTTGTCTTCTGCTTTTTCTGCGATTCAGTGCCCTGCAAGCAGATTCTGTGGAGGAAAACTAAGCTGGTGCTGCATCTTTGGCATTACTGCCTTAGAACTTCTCAGATTAGGTAGTAATGTCTCATGACAACAGACTTTTAAGATATTTATACACACAAAATGAAGACTTTGGAAGACTTTACTTAATTTGACAGGTAAAAGTAAAATGCCTCATCTATCTAGCAGCAGAGGCACAAACATTATTAAACATGAAATTTAGTCCAGCTTTATGCACATCAATCACATTAAGCAATAGATTTTGGCACAGAAATGTGTAAACTATGCTCGCCTTTGACTAAACAACTCACTGGGGAGACTTTTGCAATGCTTTTGTATTAAGCAATAACCAAGAAGTTACATACGAAAAGTCAGTGACTCAAGACTCCCTCTCTCCAGGGTCCCTGCATTGTTTGAATCACTTTCCTATCTGCACTACAGACATCCAGCAGATAGGTGACCTTACTTGTCACGAGAGAGGAGTGGGCTAAGGGCAGTCTCCATACCAACTGTGGGGTTAGTACAGACTCTTCTAAATATGTACACGCTAGCATGATTGTTTCCAAGATTCCCTATATCCTACCCACTGGAAGATTAAATTAGCAGAGAACGTGCCTGTATCTCATGATCTTCAGGCCTGCAGCTGTATCCGTGCTGTGTGGAGCAGCACTAGTGAAGGGAAAGGGCCTTCCCACACAGTCCTACAGAGGCCAACCACAGCTGAGACCCTGATGTCTGAACCAGAGCAGAGCCGAGTCCTGAACTGCAAAACAAGATTTGGATTCAGACTTCTTCCAAATCAGCAGGGCTTGATCCAACGCACCAACCTGGCTCTACCTATTGGTGAGGACATCCAAGTCTCAATTACTCACAGCACATCACACTGTAACGCATTCTTTATGTGTTGAATATTAATGAACGTAATTTCTTTTAATTCCTGCCTTACAGGTTGCTCCTGAATTTTTAGTATGAATTTACGTATGTTAATCCATTCACATAACATTCATTTTCACTCAAGGAGGCCATTTAAACAAAGATATTTAAGCACATATTTTAATCCTAACTCACATGTTGTCTACATTTTTATTGGTCTCATCTTCACACAGTTGCCTTCTTCAAACTCAAGGCATCAAAGGAGTCTGAACAGGAACTACGTCTGGTGTATAATGTTCTTTACGCATATGAAACCACAGTGAAGTCACCAAGGACTCTGATGTAAAAACCTGTTGCTATGGAAAGGACCTGAACCGTTTGCTGAGCTACCAAACCTGCTGAAGACAGGAAAAAACAGAATTCTGCTTAAAATATATGAACTGGTCGTTTACAAAAATAATTCAGTTGAAGATTAGTTATCAGATAACAGGAAGTCTCACCGAAATCAGCTGGAGTTGGATCAGGCTGTACCAACTATAGTCAAACTGTAAATCTTCTTTTAAAGCTGCTTTCCTGCAATTACCTCTCAAAGATTACATGTCCTTTACGTGAACTGTTCCGCCATCCTACACTGAACTGTACTTCTGT